GCTGAGGACGTCAATACGGCAGAAATGCTGCTCAACCCAAAACGTGAACTTGAGAGTTCTATAAATTCAAGGAGGGACAAAGGAGAGCCGCCATGCCACCTGATTCTGCGGTCATGAATACTTACGGAGCACTGAAGAAAACCCCTACTCTTACATGGGGGGTTCCTTTCCCTTGGGTTCCTTTTACTCCAGATTGCAAGGATGCGATGACGTTACAATCTTGTGGGGAAATGTTGGAAACGTCATCTTTACACAACAGATGGACGAATAGATAGAACACTGGGCCTGCTGGTTCCGGTCAGTTGCATTGCCCTTCATCGCCATGTGAGACGCTCCTCTCCCTGCCATCCTTATCCACACTCCATCCGCGCTTGTATCCTTTCCTGCCTTTGAAATGCACGCCATGGCTTGCGTCACACTGCATACAGAGGGGACGCCGGCTCCTGTATCAGCGGCATCAAGAAGCTGTGTAGAGCTATCGACCTGTGTAGAGTTATGCGCCGAATGTCATTTTATACTGTTGCAGTAAACTTATCGTAGCCTTAAGACCTACTTTTCGCTTTAGAGTGCGATACGTTTTCTGCCTAGTTCTGTTCATTTCTCCTCGAGTTTGATAATTGCTCGAATAAACTCAACCTAAAAATAAGCGTAGCATATCCTAGTTGATGGATTCCTCTGTATAACGTGCTGGGATAAACTCAATGAGAAGTATATTAGGGTTATACTTTTTGTTTGAGAGTACTAAGTACTCAATAGGAGATACGGATTCAGTGGTAAGTGCAATTCAAGCCATCCCGGGCTAAGTTAGCTGAATCCGCGGGTGAAGGGTATCATAGTATAAAGAGTCCCAGAAATAGAGCAGGAAAATCAAGACAGTGGTTATAAGCCACGACATAACGGAAGTGGGAGAGTATCAAAAACTCCTTCTTGAAGACCCCTGGCGCTTAACCTCTGTTATCATTCCAAGGGCTTGGCCCTAGTGGTACTGCCTTTCCCCAACCCGATCCTCTTTCTTGCTCGCAGAATGTTAACCCAGCTCATAGCTGAAAGTGATGGGGAAGGAATGGGGAAGGGATGCTAAAGGCACGTGCGACGTGCTGAGGAAGCCAGACATTCAGGTTTGTTTCTTACGATGCCGGCGTATTCTCTCATCCATGAGTTCATGGAAGGGATGAAGAAACTAGGAAATGTGGAACGGCGGGGTGAAGGAAGATCGGGTTAGATTCCTGGGAAATGTCGGAAAGAAGTTGCTAAGTATGCCAAGAGTCAGCGTCGCAATGCTCTCCTCGTTCCCAGGAAGGACGCACTTCCTCCATCTCTTTTTTTTCTCATTTGCATATATTCTCACTTTTCCCATTTACGTATATTCTTCTCACTCCCCTTTTTTCATTCTTCCCTCAAGCTTGACCTGGCAACACATCTCATTTAACCAAATTGTTTTTAGTTTCAATCCAAAGTTTCGCAGAAGACCAAGTCTGATTCGATCCCTATAAAACTACACCCAGAAGTTCCAGGCATTCCATTTGGAAGCCAGATTTGAGAGCTAGTCGCCCCCATCCCTTTTTCGTCTTCGCTTTTCGAAATGGTCACGAAATCTCTGATGACTAACTAGTGGTTGACAGCAGTATGAATTCATTATCTCGAAGGCAAGCCCTGATACTACAGTGACAAGAAATAATAGTTGACATAATCGCAAATGAGCTCTTTTTGTGCTGGACAACAAAAGCATCACGATTAAGAGTGAAATAAATAAACTTATTAAACAAAAAACAATCCATTCAAGAACTTACACGAACTAGGTTTCGTTCACACCAACAGATTTCACGTGACGAATCTAAACAATAGCAAATAACCCTGTAATCTCTCTGCCATGCATGTGCCAATTCCATCTGGTATTCCTTGTTGCTCATCCACTTGCCTCGTCGACATCGGCAGCATAGCGACTTCTTGTGTGAAAGACGTCAAGGGTGTATTCATTGAATTTGTCTCTGAAGTGTTATCAAGGGTCCTTTGATGCCGATCTTAGTTGGCGAGATGAGCACGCCATCACGTGGGGATAGTGGCTACTGCGGAGTTATAATCCTGGCGTATCCTAGAGACATATTGCGTGCATTACGCCGAAAGATGAAATAAGGCACATTGACGTCACCGAGGTCGTTTCATGCGAGGCTTTATATAAAATTGCCAGGCAAAATGGAATTGCGAAAGCGAAACGAATTCTTATACGATACGAAAAGACTTCTATTGTTCGGTATACGATAAGGAGAATCACAGGCTTCATCGTGCTTTGAACGACTTTCCTCAGTTTAATTTGTGTGATTGCTCCAGTGATAAGCTACCTGAATTAGACCTTCACCGCTGGAGTTCTTTTGGCGTCCCACATCTAGAGCGGGAGTGATACTCAAGGATCTCTCTACCCAAACACGCCCAGGATTCCTATCGGAAGCGAACGCCTGACTTGGTTTGTTTCAAGTACGGGTTTCCGGTTGATTGCACTACTATCACCTCCTTTTGAATGGCACCACAAGTCATGCGACTTGAGTGACCCCTGCCTGAAAGTAACTGACCCTGGATGGACAAAATCTGTGACTGGTGCGGGAATGTAGTCCTTAGGCTTTCGCCAAGGTAGGAGGAGGAGCAGAAGTATTAGCGTCTTGGAGGCCAGAGGAGGCACGTGCCCCCCACTTTTCGAAAAAAGAAGCAAAAGTAAGGAGAAGACGCATGAAATGCAGGACAGTTTTCCAGGATTCCCGCACCCCCCCCCCTCACTTATTTAATCCATTCTACACTTCTGGGTAGTAGGGTGCAATCAATCATTGTACAGTTCATACAGTCATTCGCCATTTCCTTGCCGCCCATATATCGATGGTCCAGAACTTCCGCCAGAGACAGTACCAGACAGTATTTCCTTCTTGTGATTAAGGCATACGAGGCTTATAGACATTTCACATTTCTGAAGTAAATTTTTTTTACTGTTTTCTTGCGTATATAAGGAAGCGGCAACACTGGCGCTAACCCGCGTGGTCGATGGTCCCCTCCACAGCATCATATGTGGGTTCGGCTTAGTGAAGAGGAAAGACCATCCAGATGAGGCCAAGTGTCATGACTATGTCAGGGTCATTAGTAAGGAACAGCTCGGTGCATGGTGCCAGGTCGCAGAAGCTGCATGACGGCAGGGACAATGAGGTGTCTCCTTGCCCAACCAAGACGTTGGGACCTAAAAGCGTATGCAAGGATTCATATGACATCATTCACTTGAAGTTGATGTAACGCCTGCCAGATAATGATCGTGTTCACATTGTAACTGTCACAGCAGGAGGGTTGTAGACCTAATATTAGGTTATGCCGTAATATATTTTTTTAAATGTGGAGGTTTAGTTCCTGATTAATATAGACCGAGCTATGACGTCCAGCAGACTTCAGCGAGTTAAACTTAAGTTATGAACAGAAAAGTGCGTTCACCGGTCACCGATAGGCCTAACCTAGCGTTAGTGCTTCAGCATGGATTCAAGGGTTTCTTTTCTGATGCCTTTTAGACCCCACGGTATGCATAGGACTACCATCTTTTCCTATTTATTCAGGCAAACCCTTGGTGTTCAAGAAAGGGTTATTCCAGGTTAAGCTTAATGAACATGTCGGCATGAAAATGGTAATACGCCAGAAGAAATGGAACTATCTCCAGAGTGAAGAAAGGTTATCCTAAATTTTTTTCTATTCATTTTCCATGATTAATGCAGTTTTGAATTTACTATAGCTTAGTATACTATTATGACAGTGCTACATAGAAATATGTGTAATCCATGAAGAGCAGATGAATTTATTTTCTTATTCTCTTTGTGTTCAAAAATTCTCATGTAGTACTTGAATTATCTATTGATGATTGCTAAGTATTTTAGGAACTAGAAGTGGCCTACATTTTGCTTTTTGACCCATTCACAGGCAGACAGATATTTAAATCTCCAACCTTAAATTGACAGGAAATTTTCATGGTATTTAAAAATAGTGCACACTACAGTATAGTGCAATCACTCTCACTTTGTCTGCTGTCTTCATCTCGCAGATCAAGTATCATCTCATCATTGTCACTCTTGCTCTATGAAGTGCTAACTCATAGAACACACAGAACAAGCACAGGAAAATCTGGACATCAGAAGATGCCAATGCCAGTGTACAGTATATTTGAACAGACTTTTTGAGGCATTTCATGTAAATTAAGAGTGATTTGAGATATGCTTGACACCAGTTTAAAAATAATACTTTTTATAAGACATAGACCACAAGCATTTTTGTCATTTCAAAATTGGTATATCCAGTGGAGCACTCAAAAATTTTGACAGTGCATCAATAAAGCCCAAAATGAGGAAGGCTTGGGAATGCATTACCATTACTTCTCTGTACTCTATAAAAACTTATTCTGAGGAAAAATGTGATTCAAACTTGGTACTCAAATACAAGTTCTATCTTGTATGTTGAGGATGTATTACCCTAAGAACAAAGGGAGAAGTTGACATGTTATGATTCTAGGACCAGAGAAGGTCACTCAAATATATATTCATATTTATGAATGTGGCTATTCTGAGGGCTGTTGAATGTGCTTTGGAGAGTAACCCTGATGAATGAGATGAAAGTATACTTTTATGGGTGCAAGCATGAAAACATACAGTGTCCCATATAACTGGAACATAGGATCATGTTTCAGGTGTTCCAAGGTAAAGAAATGGCATTATATATGGATGAGTGAGTAGAGGTTATGTCACAATGTACCTGGGGAACCAATAGGCACAGCCAAGTACCCAATGAATTTAATATTTGCATAATATTTATTTTTAAGTGTGTGCCTATAGTTCTATACTTATGGGACACCTTGTGTAATGTTCGATCATAGTTATATTAGACAATGTTTCTCCTCTTCTAGGAAGACAGGTGCAGGTGGATTATGACAGGTCTCTTTTGACATACCTGATGTTATCATTCCAAAATTTTCCCATACTCATCCTGTGATGGATAAACCACAAATCATTGTTCACTTGGAGAAGAGTATTGGATACACAGTTTTCAACACATGTTGGGTGCCATGTTCAGCCAAACTCTTGGTGCTTGGATCCATGCCCAAGGGCACTGGCATTTTACAGATATATGAGTTCTCCAAGGGGAATCTGAATTTAGTAGAGGGATCTGAATGTCCTACTGGGTTGCGCTGTGGAACTTTTGGTGCATCCTCCTTTCAGCAGAGACAGATTGCTACTGGGGATTTCAAAGGGGTGCTCAATATCTGGGACATTGAATCACTTAAAGAGCCTGTGTATACTGCAAAGGCACATGCAGACATTGTAAATGCAATAGATGGTGTTGCTGGCCTGGGTATTGGTGTGGGAGCTCCAGAAGTGGTCACAGGTGGACGGGATGGAACAGTAAAAGTGTGGGACCCAAGGCAAAAAGATGATCCAGTTGTGTCCATAGAACCGAATGAGGGTGAACGTCGTCGGGACTGCTGGACCGTTGCCTTTGGTGGTGCTCATAGCATTGAAGAGCGAGTTGTCTGTGCTGGATTTGAAAATGGAGACATCAAGATGTTTGACCTTCGAAGCATGGGCATTTTATGGGAAACAAATGCTAAAAATGGTATTTGCTCTGTGGAATTTGACAGGAAGGATATACCAATGAACAAAGTTGTTGCAACTACTCTTGAATCAAAATTCATGATATTTGATCTTCGAACAAGACACCCAACAAAGGGATTCTCGTCTTTGACACAAAAGACAGCGCACAAATCAACTGTGTGGTTGTGTCGACATTTGCCACAGAACAGAGACTTGTTTATGACTGGTGGTGGAAGTGGAAGCTTATGTCTGTGGAAGTATTCCTATCCAGCTTCACGTGTCCAAGATTCTTCAGATGGAAATCAGGAGGGAGTTATGGGTGCAGTGAATCTCCTGCAAAATGCAAATATTGCTGCCCAGCCCATTTGTGGATTTGAATGGAATCATGATAAACTTGGTCTGGCTGCTTGTACTGCCTTTGATCAGACAATCAGAGTCATCATTGTGACTAAATTGAACACCTATTGAATTTTTGCCTATACATGCAAGAGCTGTCAATGAAATTTCATTTTCAAATAGGCCTATGGATTTGATCTCTTCAGTTTTTCTTGTTTGAAATCAGAAGACAAAGCCCTTATTATGTTACCATTGCCTATAACCTGATGAAAAGGAATGAAGAACCTGACTTGGGCTTCATTGATATTCCCTGTGATTGAAGTTGTGTGCATTCTACTGTATCTTTCATTTAAGTTGAACAAAGTTTTCACTTGGCTTGGGCATTTGTACATGGGAAATTCCTTATTTATGAGTTTTGAAGTCAGATAAAATGTTTCACTCAAATGAAAAACACTAGGTTTTCTACACAAAGAAGCTGGCATTTTCTTTTTATTGATGTAGCTCTTATTCTTACAGCTGCTTTTTAGGCCTATATGCCCAACTTTTGTTTTCTGATTCATTCATGATATGTATGGATGAAAATTTTCAGATTCAGGTGATGAGCCATGTCGTTTTGTGGGTGGCTGTGCTCAGGTCGTTTGCTACTGTTCAGACCTCATGGCAGTTTCAAGTGCAATAGCTTGAGGACATTTAGTGCAAGGCCTTATTACCCTCTCCAAAAGACTTCTAATGGAGCATCGCATCAGCCCCATTCCTTTCTCTTTTGCCAATCACATGTACGTCCCACAAACTTCAGATTCATCACCTCATCATCATACCATTTATTGCAGAACACAGGGATTCTTAGAAGTGCAAATATGAAGAGGATCCCACGTAAAAAAAGGTCCCTTACTGCTGCTGAACAAGGGAAGACATCTGATCAATCGTTCTTGGTTGTCTCATATGCTACCTGTGAGGCATATGACTTAGAGGCTTTGAGCTCCGATCTCCGAAGTGGAGGCCTCTATAGACCTGTCTTTGAGCAGGATGCAGAAGTTCTTCAAGAAATGGAAATTGTGCACATGAGAGCCACCTATCAGATAGAGGAGGAACCAAGGGAAATTTTCTTCTTTCCAGAAGGCTCAGTTGTGTTTTGGAATGTTTCAGTACTGGAGCGTCTGAGTGTCCTGAAGACCATCAGGGCGCATGAAACAGGAAGTTACCCTGAAAGCATGGTCCTTGAAGAAGTTGAAATACTCCATTACCTAAATGCTCCAAATGTGAACAAAACCAGGTTTAATAATGGGAAGATCCAATTTTGTGGGAAGACTGGGAGTGCATTGGAGAAATACACCTTCTCAAATGCTCTGGCTCTATCTGTGAAGCTGGGGATTTGGGAAGCTATGTTGTCAGAATATGCTGACAGCATTGAGTTCATCCATGATGACATGAAGAAGCGTGCACGCATTCGGATCTCACGCTCAGAAGTTCTGCAGAAAATGGGAGCTCTGTTTGCCCTCAGACATGGCATAAACTTAGGCACTGATCTTCTTGACACCCCAGATTTCTATTGGGACAGGGAGGACCTAGAAGTTCTGTATAGAAAGACATGCAATAACCTCAGTATCACACAGAGGACTCGAGTGATGAATGAGAAGTTGAATCACTGCTGTGAATTAATGGAACTTCTTGGAACACACTTGAATGATTTGCATCATGTCAGGCTTGAACTTATGATCATTGCTCTCATCATGATAGAAGTCATTTTTGAGCTTTTGCATTTCTTTGCCAGATGAGATCAGTTTTTTTTTGTCTTGCATCTAGGTCCTCTTCTTAGTCAAACTGAATGATATTGTTTTCTTTTGGTTTTTGTTATGATTTAAAAAAGTTCCAAGTATGGTTGTTGTATTTCCATTTTCTGATTTTCCAGCCTGAGTGCAAGCAAAAGGACTCATGCAAAAAGGAACTCTTGTGAATGTAATTTAGGGATCTCTTGCTCATTTCTTTCTAGTTCCAGTAAAAACTGCCTTGCTTTTTATTTCAGATCTTAGTTAAAGGAAATGATGCATTCAAGGTAGAGGAAAGAGAAATTAAAAGTGCTAGATAATATTTTTGACGGTATCTGGTGGACCACTTTTCTATTATTTCTGTCCAAGATTTTCTAAAATAGCTGAGTTCCTTTTTCCTCATATTCAACTGCTGATGGTGCATGAAAGGTATCCAGTTCTATCATACATAATGCAAGAGTCACATCATGTGACTTTAGAGCCTGTGAAGCTCTGATGTGCAGCCAGAATAGAATACATACATATCATTTATTATCACTTATATTTTGGTCTCTCCACTTGATGATCCTGAGAACACAATTCCAGTGATTTAAAATTATGAAACCCCATTTTCACCAGTGCTAGTATGTACTGAAATGGAAGCAGTAATGTGGGAATGGGAGACCACTAGTCTTATTGATAGAAAGAAAGAGTTCTTTTGCATTAAATGAATTTTGTATTCAAAAGCTGACTTGTATTATTATTATTAGTATCATATGTGGTTTGTGTTTCATTTCTAGCTCCTATTTATGTTAATGATTAACCCCTGCCCATTGCTTGATGAGTAGGATCTCATAATGGCCAAGATACTCAGAACATCTTAAACTTAATAAGCTGTATATTTGTCTGATAGCATCAGCAAGGTGAAGCTTTTTTAGGACAGTCATTATGAGGGGGATGATGTTGCATGCCATCTGATTCAAGTGCATGTTTCACTTTTTGACCTGACAGTTTGTGTCTTGTTATCCTTTGACTTGAACAGTTTTATGTTTCTTTCTGGTTCACCATTTTGTTGTGCTTGCTGTGCATCTGTGGGAAAAAATGAATACCAATCAGGTGAATAGGGTATAGTAGTGTAGAGTCCAATGAGAATTTGAATAGTCCCCAGAGATTTTGCTATGTGTTGCCTACCAATGCAAGGATTTAGATGACTTTACATCTAAAAATATCTTCTCTCCATTTGTATGGCATAAGTTTGACATTCATCCTTCCTTTGGTTCCATCAATTTCATGTATTTTTCAAATGCACATATGTAACTAACACATAGCACATTTGGAAACCAAGTTAAGTGCTTGAATTTTTTGGTGAATTAAGAGGAATCAGATATGAATTATATATATATTTTTAATGTTAGTATATACTTGCTTTTTTTGTGTGCAGGTCAGGCCACACCTGAACCCTTGCAAAAAAGCTTGAACTCCTGTGATGATTCGAATTCAGGAGGACCAAGTATTTGCAATGTTTATGGTTGCATTTTGGTAGAATCAGACATTTCTACTGCATCCATTGCCACTTTAGCCTGGGCATTCCTTAGATTGACCAGCAATTGGTCCTTTGCAATCCCAATCACCTTTGGAGGTATGGCTTTCAGTACAGACAGACATCTTCCAGAAATTGTCTCCCAGGCCTTCTTGCTCAAAAACAGAACTATGGTACATGGATTTATCAATGTACACCTTGATGACCCTTCTCTAAGTCAGAGCTGGACTCTCTTCAAACTAAATATTTTTATCACTGCTGATTCTATCACATTTGTTTTATTTTTATGATGTTCTATTGTGGTTAATACCCATGAAGTAAAACCATGTAATGTTATGGAACCAGGAGAACCACTCTGATATTCAGACAAAGGTAAGAGTTATATGGCTAATATTAGGCATAGCACTATCACCATCCCTACAGACACGATACAAAGTCCAGGAACTTTTCTGAGATCCTTAGTAAGTGAAGTATTTACTGAAATGGAATGTCATACCAGTGGCTTCATTTTGTAGATCAAGGTGAAAGTCCTAATATTAGCTGAAAGTCAATGCTGGCATAGATAGAAACAAGGTCTTGAATTAATCTGGATGCAAATGGAAATGGTTTCCATTAGCTTGAAGTTGACAGCTTTTACTTTGGTCTTTGGCAGTGCAGCAGTTATGATGGCATATTAGCATTACATCAAGTCATGCAGTTTCTAAAAGCTTCAATAAATTTTGTAAGAAGCATGTTTCACTACTGTCATCTCTGTTTGATATCTACTTTTATCACCTGATATCCTTATGCATGTGGGAAGGAAATAATGGCTTGCTTTGCATGTTTTACAATGCTCTTCATCCTAAGCATTGACTATGATGTTGCATGTTGCTTTTGCAGACACTAACACATTCCTATCTACCACCATTTAATTTTCCTCCTTCACCTGTCTTTCACTGACTAATCCATGCCAACCAAAGATCCTGGCCATCCCCCTTCCCAAAATCAACTTCTACCCTCTTCCCAGTACTTAGGTGACTTAGTCCTTGACCTTGAAGGGGTGAGTGGTGACCCAGTCTTGACCATGGATGTGAAAAAAGTTAAAGGGATTGAGACAGAAATTGTGTCTTCAAATGGGGAATCAGGAAGCACTCGATTTGCTGTCCTCATCCTGGCTGTGATCTTTCTTTCCTCCCTCACTTCCCTTTTCTACGTCTACACCATGTTTCCTAAGCTTGAAGAGTAAGTTTCAGCAATCATTGGAGACTTTCATGAAGGATAATTTTTGAAATGGTGATTCCATTCATGTTGTTTTCCTGCAGGGATGAAAGACAATATATCAAACTACCAAAGGACATCGATGATGCCAAGAACCTAGGGAATGTTCTATCTAGGTACAAGGACATGTACTTCTCTGAGGTCCTCTCTGGAGTGTTTGTTATCTATATATTGTATCCTTTTCTTTCTCACTATCTGATTAGGAATTATGCATACAATTTCTGTTTTAAAAATTTTTGCTGATTAGTTTGGATTTAAGATTTGGCTACACTTGAGTGATTACTAAACAAATGACAGTGCACCATGAGAAAACTCAGCTCTGGCAAAGGCTCAACACTTGCAAAACCACTTCAGGGAGAGGGTTAAATGTATCCCATTTGGTCAATAGCCTTGCCCCATTCAAGCTTTCAAGCTTTGTCAATGGACATGAATCAAGAGTTCATGTCATTTCCTGTCTATATTTGATGATAGCCACTGAATCTATTTAACCCATTTGCACCTACAAGTGTACTTCTGTGTAGAACATTTCAAGGTATACCACACCATGAAATTGGTGTGTTATGCCTTGAAAAAAATCCAAATGATACAGACAGACCATGCAGACTTTTTCACCTTTTTTTTTTTCATGGTTTAGGAGTGATATGAAACTGATATCAGTATGAATGCATGAAAGGAATAGTGAGGAATCTCATTCATCTGATATGATTCTCTCTTTCTCCATCTGGCTCTTGTATGATGACAGATTTAAGTTGGGCAACTTTATTGCTATTCACATAACTGCAGGAGAGGGAAAAATTTATGAAGCGATGCCTGGCACATGTGTTGTGCAATATTTTCTGTGGTACAATGTAAGTATTGTACTAAATAAGTATAAATAAGTAAATAGCATAGTATAAACATGACAATATAAGCTTAAGTATTTGCTGTAGTTCAGTATAATATAAGCTTAAAAGGGAGCCATATTTTGGAATCTTGGTATTTAAGATAAAGTATCATCTTTCTTGTAAGCATTTCATTTTCAAGCATATCCTTCTCAATTGTCTAGGTTCTGTCCTAAACTGGCTGTTATGTTAATTTTTAAATTAAAATCTTAGTGATCCTTGACAATAGGGCAGCCTTCAGACATTTGCAATCCCTGGATCAATTTTTCTGTCCATCCTCTCTGGGTTTTTGTTCCCATTCTGGCTGGCTCTGGGCCTAGTTTGTTTCTGTTCAGCAACAGGAGCCATGTTTTGCTACCTCCTTTCTTACCTTGTTGGGAGACGCCTCGTCCACAAGTATTTCCCAGAGAAGGCTCTTGAGTGGTCTAAAATGGTAAGCCTCAGGAAACTTTGGATGACAAAATTTCATAGGCCTATATGTTACCATGGTGACACCCCATGGAGAGGTTCCTTTTGATGGTGTTGAGGAATATGATGATTCTTTCTATATGTACTGGTAACATTGAAGCTTCTGCCTCTCCATTTTATAAATTTGCAAAATGGCCTGTCAGTTCTTCAAACATGATTGAAAACCATGATGTCAACTTGAACTTTTTTTCTCAGATGGAATCTAGATAGGTTGGATTCATAACGCTTCAAGTATGAAGTCTATTATGACCTTTCCTAGAAATGTTTCCATCAAACTCATTACTCTGCAATGGTATCTCACCAGTATGAATCCACATCTAATTCACAATATGGGTGAGGTAAAATTACTGCTACTTATTGATGCCCTGCTGAAAACAGAAGTAATTCCTGTAACTGGTTTAACCCTTTGGATTTTTTTATCAAAATAATTTAGTGCAATGATACAGTGAGTGACCACAACTTGTCAAAATTATCCCATGGGTTAAGAATGTCTCTTGCACCTGTATCCTCTTAACCCATTCATGCCCAGCGACTGCAGAACACTGTGGGTTTAAAAACGTAATATTACAGTTCCTGGCGTTAATGGGTTAAATTACAAGTCTTGCTTCTTGGATTGTTTCTGTTGAGTTGTGTTTCTATTGTAATTATTATGTCAAAGCAGATAGGCCTAGATCCTCTATATTAATCCCCCCCCCCCCCATGTTGATCAGTGATGAATTTTGAGTCTAGCTTGTTATATTACATAAATGTCTGGAAGATTGGTTATTTGTGTTGTCCTTGTAGGTGGCTGAAAATGTGTACTAGAGTTTAATCTCAGTCACCCCAATATGTGGATTTTTATTAGCTGCAGTGCATTACAATTTTAGAGGTCAAAGCTTTCAAGAATATCCTGCATATTCTGTGACTTGCTTCCCTTTTCATCTTTTAAAAATCAAACCATCAGTAGAGGGTTGTAACCCATATCATCTAGCTGGTAAGTTTCACCTTTTCAGTAAGCATAATTTTTTCATTGGTAAATATTGGTATTTTACAATTATGTCTTGAGCAAAGATTTATTTATCAAGACAGCTAGTATTGTGCATCTCATGACAAGTCTCTATGGTTGTATTCAAGGTGAACCGGCACAGGGAGCACTTACTGAACTACATCATTTTCCTTCGTATCACACCATTCCTGCCTAATTGGTTCATCAACATCACAGCACCTGTTATAGGTGTCCCTCTTGTCCCCTTTTATTTAGGCACTTTCTTTGGTGAGTTTTCTTAGTGTTTTATTATCCTCTTTCAGCTGTAGTTTTCCCATTGTATCCTGTCTCTCCAGTGTTGTGTTCAGTGATGTTTCTTGCCTGTAAGAGGCTCTAGAAGTTTGTCATAGTGGCCTATGCTATCAGAGAGTCCATAATTTATTCTCAAAACTTACTTTGAGTGGAGTGGGATGCTGGTATTCATTATAGCAGAAAATTGTTTTAAGGAAATTTGAAGGAAAAAATCTGTGGATTAATAGCAAGAATCTGCCCCATACCAGTTTTAACTTTTTAATTTTTTTTGGATCAATTGGAAATTTTAACTTCCATGGCTGATTCATGTTTGGTGAATGGATTATGATCTATAGTTTGGAAAAGTCAGACTGGACTTCAACAAATGGGAAACACCATTCATTCCTATTTAGCCAAAACTAAAACTGCTTGTTATTAAGTACCAAGGGGTTATTATTAAGAGAGTTATTAAGTACCTACATACAGCTTCAAGAGATGTTCAATGGCTCATGATAGTAGCTGAAGCAGCTGTCTTGATGGATGCAGGATATGCTAAAGTCAGTGAAGAGAATGTTAGAAATGGTTGGAAAGTATACTGGAGAGTGAGATGAAAAACTGAAAATGAAGGTGACTGCTCTTGAAGTTTTGAATGATTGCTCTATTGTAAGGACCAGATGAGTGTACCTCTATTGTACTCCTTATTTAAATTCTGCCACAGACCAAGTGAAGGATTCTTAGAAAAATTCTGCACAAATTTCCATTGTGTACTGATTGCCATCTGATCTCATCAAATTGCTGAAGGTATAAGTCATTGCTGGAAGTATTTATATGTTTTCTCCTCTTTCAGGTGTGGCACCTCCATCCTTTGTTGCAATTCAAGCAGGGACCACATTGCAGAAGTTAACCTCATCTAAGGATGCAGTGTCGTGGGGTGCTGTGGCACTCTTGGCAGTGTTGGCCCTTCTGTCACTTCTCCCAGTCTTGTTCAAAAAGCGACTTAGAGACAAGTTTGATTGACTACAATTGCTTTTAGTCTCTCAGTTCCAAATCCCTATGTGAGTTAAAGAATTGCTTGCGATCAAAACTGAGGAAAGCTCAGATCAAAGTGGCAGATTCTTTTCTCACTCTGGTCAGATTTCCTTTTCTTGGTGACATATATTGTGATCTATGATCAGTATGTGATTTTGAAATTTTGGAAATATGATTGAATCAAGGACTGATGAGGATCCAACATAGATGCATCAAGTCACTAGGGTTTTTATTTCCTTATAGCTTACTATTTGTCCCTGTTAATGTCTTTGGCTCCCTCATTCTTTCTTCCCCACCATTACTTTCTTGACATAATTGTTCCAACTACCTTACCAGTTATGTGTTACAAATTTAGCTTCAACCAGCACCATTAGTAGTACTTCCTTTGATGACATGAGTTATGACCCCATTGTTCATCGATAGACAAAGATGGCAGTGGTTTTCAGTAATACCCTACTCTTGTTTGCTGAAGTTCCATCCTTTTTTACACCACTCTTTGAACACTGCTGATTACCTGCATTCCCATTTTGAAACTTTGTATCTATGATTTTCCAAATATGCTTTTAATATAATATATTACAGTATTTAGTTATTAGCTATTTTCATCTGCTACATCTTTCCAATGGAATGATGAGGCACCTCTGCAGTTGGTGGAAGGAAAGGGTTGAGAAAGTTGTCAGATACAATGCTTTTAAAATGAGTATTGGTTTTCCATGTCAAATATAGATAGAAAAAAAATCAAATGACAGGTTTGTTGAATGTTGGGTGTTAACTCTATGAGGAGTATGCACATATATTTATATTTTCAAGTATTGAGCAAGCATACATCACACCCTCACAAAATATGAAAATGTGAAGTTACTGAAAGTCAATGTGAATATTCATGTTATGAACTACTCTTTTTAATCTGCAAATCATTTGTCTCAACCTGAAGTGAATAAAGTAAGATGTTCTTCGTAATTTCATTTTACCCCATCTTTGCTTCCTAACTCACTCCCACTGGGCATTTTATCTCTCCACCCCACCTCACTACTCAAAGGGTTAAAGAATAGCATATTAAACATGTGGAGAGTCAATTGCAACAAAACTACATCAAACACTTTGTAGCATTCATGAAATGACACAGTAATCAATGCTCAGTTTATCATAAAAGTATGTTTGCATACCTTTTTATACCAGTGCATGAAAGTTACAACATGGGGTCATAGAGCTTCCTGTATGAATACAGTATGCAATTAATTCCCTTGTTTCCATTTCCTAAATGAGGGAAAGTGATTTGATTTGATTACATTCATTATGACTGGTAATAGCATTCTCCCTGATGCTCTCTGTGAAGGTAGAAGGAACATCCCCCAAAAAGTGATCTGATGAAACCATATTCTTGATCATCCTCTGACTTTACATATTGTGCTGTCAGTTTTTGAAAAACTTTAACAAAATGGTGGCAAAATCACTTTGTAAGCATGGTTTCTTTGCAGTGGTTAAAGTAGCTTTTGCTTCATCTGGCCTTCAACTGTCTGCTTTCACATGGTTCTTATATGAGCAGAAAAGCACCCCTCTTGCATGTTAATGGCAGCAGCAGCGTTTGTTGACTTGTGTTTTACCTCATTTTAGCATTTGTTAAACCATGTTTAATGTAGTGAAGGGTGCACTGAATTCCATTCTCCCTCTTTCTTTTCTTCTGTTAGAATTTCACTCCTTCCCTTTTATTTCAGGCAGTATCTATTTCCTATGGCCAATCCTGACCATGAATACATACTTCAAGTATCTATACTTTAGATTGAACCTTTTAGGCCTGAAAGCTGAAGCCACCTTTAGCATAAATGTCTTTTTGTCTTGCCTAAGTGTGGTTTCAGCATTTGGACCTTGAACTTCATGTCCTTATGTGTTGATCATTGCAAATGAGGTTGAATACCATATTCAAGTCCTAAACAAGTGAATCTGGAGCTCTGCATAGAGGAAATGCATGGTTGTTGCATTTGACTTTCTATGTTTATTGTGTTCCAGCAACTAGCACAACAGCAGATTTTGATTTCCTTGTCGCATTTGTCTTGAAAAGCATACATATTGGATGTAAATGTGAAGCACAGACTAATTTCCTTAAAAGATGTGCCTTAGATTGAAGTGAGTAAAATGTCCCTTGCAAGGCAGTTTGACTGCCTTCAATGAACATTTTTCTCCTTCAGTCTGAGTGGTTGCTGCATGAATTCAGTTGTGTATTCTGTAAAGGGCTATATGGCAATATTAAGCAAGTGTTCAATATAGTATGGTAATGAACATATGGTAGTGCCAAGGTTTCTTGATATGAGCATTTTCTACCTATCCCTCGACCCTGTTAAGAGGTGAAAAAGAGAGGGACAAGGTTCCCAATCATTGAAGAGCTTGCTCAGCCAGCACTTGGTATCTCATGTGAGGAAATGGAGGAAATGGTCCATGTTTTCTTGCTTATTATTAACTACGGACTTTTCTACAGCCTGTGTACACTTTAGACCCATTTTTAAGGGTTGATGGAGATCCTTGACTTTGGTTTATGGATGGGATTGTGTGTGAGAAAAAGTGTTTCTATGATGAATAATCATGGTTGGACATCCTTTGGAACTGCCCCAAAGACCCAGCAAATGCCCATTTTTTGTATCTGTTGAAAGAAACTATGAGTTTGCCCGTCCGTTTAAGTAAAAATTAGATCTCTTTGTACACAGGATTAAGAGTGTAGTCTGTGTCAAAGATTTTTACTTCAGCGCTTGGAAGAAGCAACATACAATGGACCTTGGCTCTACAACTAGGTTCAATAACGAAATCTCGTCTTTTATAGATGTTTGACCTTGAGATTTATCGGCATTCATTAATCGACTATGCCTCTCGGCAAAAGACATATCTAAATCCTATAAACCAGATAGATTTTGAAATGAAGACCACAAAACAAGACAGCACAAGGGCATTGGCCAGAAGGGTACTCTGGTGTTTAGAAAGGTTTATTCGTCCTGGCATGCACAGGGTGATTTTAGTTTTCTTGACCTCTGGGCAATGAGAGGAATAAGTTAGCATGCTGTCAGGAGTGAAGCCCAGAAATTTGAATGAGCTTGCACTGTACCCAGGTCTGAAACGGGTAAGAAGCGTACATCTATTTTTCTTTGCATTCAGCACCATTTGTTGGTAGCTGCCCATGAATTTAGGTTGACTATATCGTCATGGCATCGATCACGTCTTTTTGGAGCATTTGATTGGTAGCGACTGGACAATCTCGGCAAAATTTCGAACGAAAAGGTTTTGGTGAACATGTAAATCTTTGTCACGTCAAATTCTTGAATGAATATCAGTAATGGTACTGAATTGGGTTGTCGTCGTACAACTATACTCATCGCCAAAAAAAGCCAAACCAAGGAGTTGAGCGATCTTGAAGTTTGGTACACGAGCTCGTACTAGTGTACCATGAAATCTATTTTCACTGTGAAAACTTGCCAAACGCTTCAACTTTAATAAGCACTTAGAAATCGTGCTAATCGTCCTAAACGGTCACGTAGAATGGTAATATTAATGGAACGTGGTTTTAAAGCCCCTAAAGTTGAGTAAAAATATCGAGAAAAGTTTCAGTCATGGGATGAGACAATGCGAAGAGAACTTGCGAATTCGTGAGGCATGAGGGAAGAGGACGGCATCCGTTGATGACACCAGATTCCTTTTCTCTTTCCCTCAAGCCCCTTCATTGTAGAGCCGTTGTTGAGTGTCTAACTGAAGCAGTACCAATATGAAATATCTGAAGACAAATTCAGCAAGTGTTGGAAGTCTTTTAATGGATGTTTGAAAGTTATAGGGTCATTTTTATGCTTTACGTGCATCAGCCTGATGCATGCATCCCAATTTGTCTACACCGATCGAATTATGACATCTCGTTAAAATTGCCTTCAGAGTTTTCATCTTTTGCCCTGCCTTGCAGTTATACTCTCAACAACGGCTCTATGGTGACGTGGCATGAGGGGGAGAGAAAATGAATTTGGCGTCATTGGCGCAGCCCAAATTGCACATTGTGCAATTTGGCAGCTTTACCCTGCATTGCCTCATCTCATGGCCCTGGAGCTTTGCTAGATTTTTTGTGCCCATCAACAGTTCGCCTGCCTCGTTTCATCAACGTAATCCTTTTAGACGACCTTTTCGGGCGATTAATTCCTGTAGCCTCTATTTAAATTGAAGTTTTTGGCATATTTTCTCTGTGAATATTCATTCCACTCACTTGAAACTCTAATCGATTTGATCTTTGGTATGGTTATCCGAATTACAGCGCCGTTAAATATTTATGTTCAGGTTGGAAATCTAATTGATGGCTTCTGGGGAAGCTTTGTGGATTTCTGTGATCCCTCTGGGAATGGGTCTTTTTGAACAGGAGTGGGTGAGATAGATGGTCTGTTGACTTGAGCCACAGTCGCAGTTTGAATCATCTTCCATTCGTGGAGGAGATAATTGCATTGGTCGTAGGATGTTCTAAGTCTATTTAGGGAAGTCCAGGTCTTGCGTGGTAGGGCGAAGTCTCGTGATTAGATCAGGGGTTCCTAACCTTTTGCACCTACGGATTCCCCAGACCTAAAGTATTACACATGGACCCCAGGTTAAGAACCCCTGGATTAGGTGGAAGGGTCCGAGATGATGTTCGGTAGGCTCGCGTTTGACCAAGATTCGCGCCATTTATCTTAAGCTCAAGTAGAGGCCACAATCGACGCCATAAAACTAAAGATCGACCGATATATCGGTCGATCTCTCGTATGAGTGTTCTGGCCATTACGGCATCATCGAGATGCGAGGAACTGCAAGTCTATCACTCCACTTCCATTTTTATTCTCCTACATAGAAGTTAGGCGTATTCACGGCTTCGGGAACTTCAACGGTTAAAACGATAGACATTCGCCCTAAGGGTTAGGTTTCGCTGATGATTGTCCGAAAGTACGAGGACTGTTCATTTAATTCGCGGACACGGGGAGGGGACTTCTGCCCTTGCCCGACCCTGTCTGCGAATTAAATGAACAGCCCTCGTTTAGAATTGTTGGCCTGCTGCCTTACGTTAATCCTCCCATTTATCCAGGGTCTAAAACGTAGGCTAAAACGTAGCGTGAGTGTAGGCCTAAACAAGTCTTAAAGGCCCTCCTCTGCTCGACTACGATATTTCTAATGCTCGCCTAATGAAACTTTTAAAATGTTTCGTTCTCCTCGGGGCTTATGCTCACGCGATGGCATCTGATCTCCCAAAAAAAATCCCGACATCAAGAAGTGGAGATATATCCTTGAAATTTGGTTTCGGAACTCGTTGGGCTAGAGAAACACTCAGATTCCATAAAGACCGTTCTCTACATAACATAATTCATTAAAGAGGTCGACCGATATATCGGTCGATCTCTACATAAAACCATTGCCCGAGAACTTCGATCGTTTTTCGAACCTCCTTAGGATCGCCGCGAACAACATCCGCCGCGGCCATAGAAAGGCTTACACTTCCTGCTGGCAACAGGAGAGAGAAAGCCTTTACAAAGAATATAA